AGTATATATGGACTTCCTGGCAAAGCTCACTGACTTTCACTGTGCTCTGGATCCTGCATTCAGCTCGTCATCATCTGACCTCTGGTTCTTGGGATGTGAGCCAGGAGCCTGCTGATCTTTGGTTTGTCAGCCCCTGAAGCTATGTGAGTCAGGAGAAGCCTCCAGCCTGACGCCTGACACAGACTTGGAATTTTCCAGCCTCTACAACTGTGTGAGCCATTTCCTTGATATAACTCTCTCTCTTTACATATATATATATATGCTTCACTGATTTTGCTTCTCTAGAGAACTCAGCCTAAGACAGTGACTTAAAACAACAATTAAAAAAAATTATCTCATAGTTCTGTGAATTGACTGAACTCAGCTGGGCAGTTATATTTTTGTTTGTTTTTTTAACTGGTTGGTAAACATTTACCAGCATACCACTGTGCCCCTCTTATATTTTCATAACACTCTGAACACCATTTATTTTTTCATGCATTCATTGAAAATTTACTGACTGCCTACCATGTGTCAGGCACTGTACTAACTGCTAAGAGTATAAAGGTAGGCAAGTGTCATGGATTGAATTATGTCCCCCCAAAAATTTATGTATCAATTTGGCTGGGCCATGATTCCCAGTATTATGTAGTTGTCCTCCATTTTGTGACTGTAATTTAATGTTAAAGAGAATTAGGGTGGGATTGTATCACCCTTAATAAGGTCACATCCCTGATGCAATGTAAAGGGAGTTTCCCTGGGGTGTGGCTTGCACCACCTTTTATCTTACAAGAGATAAAAGGAAAGGGAAGCAAGCAGAGAGTGGGGGACCTCATACCACCAAGAAAGTAGTGCCAGGAGCAGAGTGCATCCTTTGGATTCGGGGTTCCTGCACAGAGAAGCTCCTAGTCTGGGGGAAGATTGATGACAATGAGGACCTTCCCCTGGAGCTGATGCCTTGGATTTGGACTTGTAGCCTACTAGACTGTGAGAGAATAAATTTCTCTTTGTTAAAGCCATCCACTTGTGGTATTTCTGGTACAGGAGCACTGGTTGACTAAGACAGCAAGTAAGAACCCTGCCCTCATGGAGCTTACCATTGAGATAGGTGTTACCGCAATAACGCGGATTGGAGCTGCCTGCTGCAATAGCCAATTCTGAGACGGGGGTGAGGTAAGCAGCAAGATGTTTATTATATATTGATATATAGGAGACGGAGGGGAATAGTTTCCTCCAAAAAACCCATCTCCCCCACTGGAGATCTGCTGAAGTCTTTTATAGGGACAAGATTATGGATCTTTTGTGGGAGTTTCTCCTTGAGGTGATGATGTCTTAGATGAGTTAACCGTCTACTGGTATTCTTAGAGGTTATCTGGTGACATCTTTGTGGATTATCTGGTGACATCCTGCTTTTTCTTGTCACAAGATGGGTGCTTTGTTTGGTTTTTCATTCTTAGATCATTATCAATTGTTTTCCACCCTCCAGGGAGGAACATGGGTTAATCTTAAACCTTTTTGTAGAGACTGGAGAAAAAAATATCATGAGACAATGTGGCGGTTAGCAATGGGGGAGTAAACAATAGTGAGTGGGGCCTATGCACCCTCTTCCATAGGGAGAATGATCTTAGTCACATATTCACATAAATATAAAATGATAATTATGTTATGAACTAAAAATACTTTAACAATGCATAATTGTGTTATTTGCCCTGGTCTAGGAGGTTTTTTTCTGAGTGAAGATTTGAAAGGGTAATTTTGAGTTAAGAAGGGACTAAAACGAGGGAATGGCATTCTGGGCTGAGGGAATATCTTCTGTTGTCAGAGGGAACATTACTCCCAGGAGCAAAGGAAAGAAGACAAACATGGCTGAAAGGGAGCCAGGAAGCTTGGTGGGAGATGCAGCTGGAGAGTTGAAGATTTATTTAATTAATTAATTTATAGTTAAGAGGAGAGACCTGAATTGCTCTGTTTCACAAAGATAACTGTTTATATTTGATAATGTTTTGGTTAAACAAACTGACTTAAATTTATCAAAACAAAAAACACTTGAAATACATAAGCACATAGTTTGTTGTTAGAAAGGCGTGTGACTTGTTGAGGTAAGCTACACCAGGTAATCAGAGGAGTCTCCTTTCTTCTTGGGCACTCTCATCCAGGAGGCAGATTACCCAGTAAGCAAGGTAAGCATGGGCTTACTTGTGCTTACTTCCTTATCTGTAGTGAACAATTCCACATGGGTTTCACAGGGTAATGTGTCCCTGTCAAGGACTGTAAATTATAAAAGAGGCTTTGATTCTGTAGGACGGTGCTGTGGAGTTGGGAGAGAGAAAGATGCCAGTCATACCTTGAAGCAGAATCTTTGATGTGGTGACAAAATGTGAAATTGTTCATCACAGACAATGTGTAAGCAAGGTAAGCACTGTGCTTACCTTGCCCACTGGATAATCCGCCCCTACTCTCTTATAATTGATGCATACACTAAAGAGAAACGACTCTTTTTGATCTCCCTGTTTGAGTCATCTCTACGTCTTCCATCAATATTGCCTCTCTAACAATTGCAGGAGCAGAATGAGAAAATAACGGTTTAATAATCGCTACCCGAGGGTGGTGTTTGACAGCTCACAAAGCACAGAGTTTCAAAAGACGCCCTGCTTTGAGGACCGGCTGCCGTTGGCCAGGTTCAAAGACAGACAAAAACCTTTCACGTTGTCCTTTCAGCTTCACCTATCTGCTCAGCCACTCCACTCGTTACAGCACATAGCACCTCTACCAAGTCCTTCATCTTCTCATGCCCCTACTTCAGGCCCGACCCGAGGCTGCAGCTTCTGAAATGCACCGCGGCCAGAAGCCAGGCCATGCGGACTAGGGGTCTGACGGCGACGCCCGAGTCTCTTCGCCCCTATATAAAGAGCTAAGGCCAAGTGGCACAGGACCCAGGGTGTGACACTAACAGAAGCCAGAATCCAGAAGGTGAAGAGCCATCCGGTTGACCTGTGGCCCTGAGGTCGCCCGAGTCTGGGTGAGGCCACGCCACACCGCCTCCAGCTCCTGCGCCCGACCTCTTCGTCCGGCTTTCTCCCGGCCTCTGAGGTCGGCTTTCCCCACTGTGCGTCTTGGCCGCCGCGCCGGGAGGCGGGGGAGTGGGGTGGGGAAGAAGGCCGCGGTCTTGAGGCGGAGCGAGGGCGGGGGCCACGGCGGGGGTGTGGCCGCCGCCTCCTTTAAGCCTAGGCCGAGCGCCTCCATCCCGGGCGTCGCCTCCGCTGCCACCGTCACGGCGACCTCCCGAGCGCCTGACCAGGTGCGTTCGCCCCAGCCCGGCTGCCCCGCGGGCGGGTGAGCTGAGGCCCCGAGGCCTCCCTGCGGGCGGGCGGGCGGGTTGAGGCCGTTGGCGGCCGGTGGACGTACTTCCTGCGGCGCTCATTTGTGGGAGCGATTGATAGACGGGGCTGGGAAGCCACTAGGAGCCGGGCTGGGCCTGCTTCTTCCATGACAAGGGCCCAGAAATGAGGGGGCCGTGCCCGCCCCTCTCCCCGGGGCGTCGGAGAATGCTGTTAACAGCTGCGCGGCCTTTATCTGCCCTTCCCACCTGGTAGCGCGCGCCCAGTCCAAGCCCCCAAGAAGCTTCCCTCATCCCCCATCTGGAAACAATGCCTCCTTCCCCTGAGCCTCCGTGACGCTTTATCCGGTGCTCCTTTGAGACCCCTTTCGCTTTTTACCTTATACTTCTGCTTCCGGTGTGCAAGGCTACGCTCTACTTCTAGGCTTTAAATTGCATGAGGGCAGAGCCTACGTGTGACTTGTCACTCGTGCAGTAGTATTCAGTAAGTAATTGAATGAGCACATGTGAAGTAGAGCTGAATGAACGAATACATGAATGGATATAAATACATATGAAGTGGAGGCAGTGAAGACACAGGTTTACAACTCTTATCTACTGTCGCATAGTTTTCCAAAAAGTTGTATAAATGTTACACCTTTGCAGATGGAATGATTCTGGTTGTGACTACTTAAAAGGTATTCAAGTCTATCTTCTTGTTAAAGAAGTTAATCACCAGAAACACTCCCTTGTATTACCACTTTATTTTATAAACGTACATTTTTCATATGTGGGTTTGCTTAAATCAAAATATACTTACGGCTTTGTTCTTTCCTACTTTGGACTCAATCATTGTCACCATAGTATTATTTAGTGTATTTCTGAAAGGCAAGAGTGAATCTAATCTAGTCCCTGAGTGGTGCACTCGTCTACTGACCTAAAGGTTGGTGGTTTGAACCCAGTGAACGGCACCGTGGAAAAAAGGCCTGGTGATCTGCTTCCATAAAGATTTGAGAGCATGGATTTGGTTTTGGTTTTTAAGGGTGAATCTAAAGGCAGATCCACATGACTGCATTTAGTGACTCGTTTGTTGAATCAGGCATTTCTCCTGAATTCAGGATTGTGAAGATTATTGCTGGTTTTCCTGAGATGGGTGCTGGCTGACTTTACTCTGCATTGCCACAAGATTTTACTCTGCCACAGGCTCCTCGATTTGGGTCTAACATGTTTCCAGTGCAACCCAGTCTGACAATACCATATATTTCCAGTATATTTAGGGAACTATATCACTATTAATTTGCATACATTTGAGATTAGTTATCATAGATCACAAAATTTTGGAGCTAGAAGGACCTTAGAGACTTTTTAAAGACACTTAAAAAAATCACTTTGTATTCATATTAAAAATTTTTTTTTAATGCTACATTTAACAAACACAAAGTCCCAAACATGCTAAGTAAAATAAAATTAATGTTACCTACTTCAGTTATTTCAGGTCTCTTGGGAGATGTGGAGCCAATGTGCTTGGTGAAAAAGCCTGACTTTCTTGGACTCTTTTCCCAAAGAACGAGTTATGGGGTCATGGGTTGCTCAGGCATGGAATGTGACGAAGCTGATATTTATGGGGCACTGACCACATACCAGGATCCTGATGGTACAATGGTTAAAGCACTCAGCTACTAACTGAAAGGTTGGTAATTCGAATCCACCAGCTGCTCCCTGGGAGAAAGATGTGACAGTCTGCTTCCATGAAGATTTACAGCCTTGGAAACCCTATGAGTTGCAATAGACTCATTGTCAACAGGTTTGACCACATACCAAGCACTGATATGTTTAATCTTGTTACTTATATTGCCCCACCTAAGAGTTTGGTACTGTTGTAATTCATATTCCTAAACAGAAACAATGCTTGAAAAGTGTGAAGGTCAGGTAGCCAAAGCACAGGCAGAGGGACTCAGGGTTTCCCTAGTGAACATAGACGGTTCCTGCTAGGAGAATGTGTGATGTCGGAGAATGTCGTCTGTGTGTGTGTTCCAGGATATATATAGACTCTGGAGCATTGTGGGTAAGTGATTTAGGATAGGAGCTCAGGGACAGAATGATTAAGACTGAATTACAGAGAGATGGTCATTTTATCATTTTGAGAATTATTAAATTCCATTGGGACTCTAGTAAAGTCTGATACTTTGACCTAGATGCACATATATCCTAAATTTAAACATGTTCAGACTTACCAAGTTAGGGAGTATAAAATGGGTGACATCAAGAGCTGTCGTTAGTGAATGACACTTCAAGGCTTTGTCTTTAAATGTCTCTGAACAGTGAAGACCAGCAGTGTTGTTTCTTGGGCTAATTTCATGCCCTTGCTAGGGCGCTGTCTCCCACCTCCTTTATAAGGATGATAACTCCTAGTGCAGGCACACTACAATGCTGACATCCCTGTAATCCAAGCACAAGAACGCAGGATGGGTTTCCAGGACCCTTATAATTAATTGACGAGAGGAAAAGAGAGGCCCATAAAGTAAGTGGAAAGTTATTTTGTTTCTTTTTTGTCAGCCAAGTTTAGCCCCACGGAAGGCAGAGACCAATTGCTGCCTTCTGAGAAACTGAGAGCCGACGCGAGTTTGATTTAGCTCAAGACGCTGAAACTTTCTGCCCTGAAGGCTGGTGTGGTGGAACTGACCTTCCCATTGCTCACCATATTATGAAAAAAACATTAAAGCAACAATTTTTATTACTTGCCCTGGGTCTAGAGCTTTAAAATGTACTTTCTTTTTCCCCCACCCTCCCTAAACCACTTAACTTTTAAAAACAAACAACCCATTCATGTGTTTGCTACAGTCAGATTATTAGATCTCTCCCTTTATCCCTGGGTCCTGTTTCTGTAGCCAAGTAGTAGGACTGGTATACTTCTTGGTATCTGCAGTTTTTCTTTAGTTACTATTTTATTCAGCAAATATTCATTTCAATAACCATTTATTGAGCGTGTACTATGTGTCAGATAAAGATGAATGAGATACTCAGTTTAAGTAGCCTATCTAGGAGAGTGACCCTTCCACAGATTATTGCACCACAGGGTGATATGGAAGTAGTAGTGGCTCATTTTGAAGGCCGAGAGGACGGAGAAGGGCGTTCCAAGGAGGGGAAACTACAGGGGCTGGGAAAAGGAGGTGGGATTGAACATGCATTCCCAGGGAGAGACGAGGGGTTCAGTTTGGCTGCAGTGGAGAGGTCTTGTGAGGCTGGGGTGAGATAGTGACAGTCCTTGGATGCCATGGAATTTAGACTTTATTATAGCCTATATAACCTTTTCTGGAGTTTTTTAAGGTGAAATTTGTAAGTAGAAGAGTGATGTGATTGGCTTTTCTGTAGGGAATAGCTCCAGCAATGTGTTGAAGGAACTGGAGAGGGGAGAGCCAGGACTCCAGAAGAAAATGAGGAGGCTGTTGCTATAGTCCAAATGGAAAACGATAAGAGTCTAAACTAAAAAATGCTTGAGAGATATTTTAGAGAGTAGAGAGGGCAGGATTTAATGACTGGCTGGATATGGGAAATAAGGTTGAAAATAATTCTGAGGTTTCAGAATTGCTTGACTGGGTGAATGGAGGTGCCACTAATGAGCATAATAAATATAAGATGAGGAAGAGGTTTTGGGAGAAAGACAGTGAGTAGAGGTAACTGGAAGATCCAGGTGGGGATTCCAGGATATAGCCTTGACTGTCGCTGTACTGTGATGCCAGGCAGTCAGTACCTCTGCCAAACACTACAACTGGTCCTCAGTCTAAAAAGACAATTCAGTTTAACAAGTTGCTTAGAAAGAAGAAAAAAGAAAACCAAAACGAAAATACAACAGCAACAACAAACAAAACCTCATTAGACTTGGATAATGACCATTGCATCGCATTTCAGGTAAGATGTTAGAAACCTAAATCTTATGTAGGTTCCACTGAGGGAAAAAGGACTGGGGAGACTCAAACAACGCAGAGTTATTATAGGTCCTCTAAGTAGAGAAACACAGACAGAAGGGGTTCAAAAGATCAAAGATAAGCAAAGGGCAGGAGTGTAGCAGAGAGCAGTGATTGTTAAAGGCAGAGTTGTAGGCAGATTTGGAATATAGAAAAGCAATTTGAACTGATATTCCAAATAACTGTACTTCTTTAATGGTAAGACTATCACAAGCTTTGATTTCTCATCTTATTCATTTGTCAAGAAGAGACAAGTAGGAGATTGTTAAAAGGTGTGGGGGCTGGGTAGGGGGTTTGATCTTATTTTGGAGAGAAAAATGTTAGAAGACTTTGAACTGAGAGAAGAATAACAGGGAGAATAAGATAAAAATGAAAAGGATAATGATTTAGAGGAATTTTTCAGAAGAACATTTAACAAATTCTCTGACAAATAGTTGGTAACAAAGAAAAAGGCAGGTGGATGCAGTGTTCTCTTATAGCTGTGATATTAGACTTCCTTGGAAAAAAAAGACTATGCTAACATAGCATCTTATATTTGAAAAACATTTTTTACATTTGATTGTTACAAAGACAAGGTTGTTACAGAAGTAGATGCAGCAAGACACTATTATCTTTCTTTCATAAATTAAAAATCTGGGTATTAGACAGGTGGTGGTTTGCCCCAGATCCAATAGGTAGCAAGAACTCCAAGCCTTGAAACATTTAGTTTGCTGCTGCATCCATTGTACGAAAGCCTTGCTTTGCCTTGGAACTTACACCTTTTGCAAGGTGCCCTCGCCCCCCAACCACAATTTCACATCCTATTAAAGTAGAGCAGATGATATTTGAAGGCAATAGAGCCAAGATCTCTAGGGAGAGAGGCAGTGATGGAAAGGGTTCTTAACATCAACTTTGCTATGCATAGTAAGAGTGTTCATGAAGCATTGACTAGAGAATATGTGTGGGTGTCAAATGACGCTTTCAATGCAATGGGAGTCTACAATACAAAACAATCTTATGATTAAATCTTCTATGAGGCATATAAATCCTACATAAAGTGAACAGTCAGTCATTCCTTGATATGTTGTTGTTATTGTTAGCTGCCGTTGAGTCAGTTCCAACTCATAGCGACACTGTGTACACCAGAGCGAAACACTGCCCAGTCCTGCGCCATCCTCACAATTGTTGTTATGCGTGAACTCGTTGTTGCAGCAACTGTGTTAATCCATCTCATCAAGGGTCTTCCTCTTTTTTGTTGACCCTCTACTTTACCAAGCATGATGTACTTCTCCAGGGACTGGTCCCTCCTGATAACATGTCCAAAGTATGTGAGATGAAGTCTCACCATCCTCGCTTCCAAGGAGTACTCTGGCTGTATTTCTTCCAAGACAGACTTGTTTGTTCTTCTGGCAATCCATGGTATATTCAGTATTCTTTGCCAACACCGTACTTCAAAGGCATCAATTCTTCTTCGGTCTTCCTTATTCAGTGTCCACCTTTCTCATGCATGTACCAAAACCAAACCTGTTGCCATGGAGTTGATTTCGACTCATAGCGACCCTATAGGATAGCGTAGAACTGTCCCATAGGGTTTCCAAGGAGTGGCTGGTGGATTTGAATTGCTGATCTTTTGGTTAGCAGCTGAGATCTTAACCACTGTGCCACCAGGGCTCCAACTTAGAGGCGATTGAAAATATCATGGCTTGGGTCAGGCACACCTTAGTCCTCAAAATGACATCTTTGCTTTTCAACACTTTAAAGAGGTCTTTTGCAGCAGATTGGCCCAATGCAATACATCATTTGATTTCTTGATTGCTACTTCCATGGGCATTGATTGTAGATCCAAATAAAATGAAATCCTTGACAATGTCAGTCTTTTCTATGTCTATCATGATGTTGCTTATTGGTCCAGTTGTGAGGATTTTTGTTTTATGTTGAGGTGTAATCCATATTGAAGGCTATAGTCTTGGATCTTCAGTAAGTGCTTTAAGTCCTGTTCACTTTCAGCCAGCAAGGTTGTGTCATCTGCATATCGCAGGTTATTAATGAGTCTTCCACTAATCCTGATGCCTCATTGTTCTTCATAGAGTCCAGCTTCTCAAATTTTTTTGCTCAGCATACAGATTGAATAAGTATGGTGAAAGAATATAACCCTAACACATAACTTTCTTGACCTTAAACCATGGAGTATCCCCAGTCTCTGTTTGCAGAACTGCCTCTTGGTCTATGTACAGGTTCTGCATGAGCACAATAAAGTGTTCTGGAATTCCCGTTCTTTGCAATGTTATCCATAATTTGTTATGAGCTGCACAGTTGAATGCCTTTGCATTGTCAGTAAAACACAGGTGAACATCTTTTTTGCATTCTCTGCTTTCAGCCAAGATTCATCTGACATCAGCAGTGATATCCCTTGTTCCACGTCCTCTTCTGAATCTGGCTTGACTTTCTGGCAGTTCCCTGTAGATGTAGTGCTGCAGTACAGTGATCTTCAGCAAAATTTTACTTGCGTGTGATATTAATGATATTGTTCAATAATTTCTGCATTCTTTTGGATCACCTTTCTTGGGAATGCGAGCATACATGGATCTCTTGCAGTCGGTTGGCCAGATAGCTCTCCCCCAAATTTCTTGGCATAGACAAGTGGGCACTTCTAGCATTTCATATGCTTGTTAAAACATCTCAGTTGGTATTCCTTTTTTTCCTGGACAGAATTTTTTTTTTTTTAATTGTACTTTAGATGAAGCTTTACAGAACAAATAGTTTCTCATTAAACAGTACACATATTGTTTTATGACAGTGGTTGACAACCCCACGACATGTCATTGTCCCTTCTCAAACTTGGGTTCCCTATTACCAGCTTTCCTGTCCCCTCCTGCCTTCTAGTCCTTGTCCCTGGACTGTTGTGCCCCATTAGTCCCATTTTGTTTTATGGAGCTGTCTAATCTTCGGCTGCATGGTGAACCTCAGGAGTGACTTCATTACTGAGCTAAAAGGGTGTCTGGGGGCCATACTCTCAGGGTTTCTCCAGTCTCTGTCAGGCTGGACAGAATTTTTTTGCCAATGCCTTCAGTACGTCTTGGACTTCTTCCTTCGGTATTATCTATTCTTGACCATATGCTACCTGCTGAAATGGCTGAGTGTTGACCAATTCTTTTTCATACATTGACTCTGTATTCCTTCAGTCTTCTTTTGATGCTTCCTGCATCGTTCAATTTTTTGCACATAGAATCCTTCAGTATTGCAACTTGAGGCTTGAATTTGCTCCTCAGTTCTTTCAGTTTGAGAATTGCCAAATGTGTTCTTCCCTTTTGGTTTTCTAACTCCAGGTCTTTGCACATTTCATTACAATACTTCACTTTGTCTTCTCGAGCCACCCTTTAAAATCTTCTGTTCAGCTCTTTTACTTCATCATTTCTTCCTTTTGCTTTAGCTACTCTGTGTTCAAGAGCAAGTTTCAGAGTCTCTTCTGACATCCATTTTGGTCTTTTCTTTCTTTCCTGTCTATTTAATGACCTTTTGCTTTCTTCATGTATGATGTCCTTGATGTCATCCCATGACTCATCTGGTCTTTAGTCATTAGTGTTCAGTGTGTCAAATCTATTCTTGAGATGGTTGCTAAATTCAGGTGGGGTATACTCAAGGTTGTACTTTGGCTCTCGTGGACCTGTTCTAATTTTCTTCAGCTTCAACTTCAACTTGCATAGGAGCAATTGGTGGTCTGTTCCACAGTCTGCCCCTCCCTGGTCTTGTTCTGGCTGATGATATTGAGCTTTTCCGTCTTCTCTTTCCACAGATGTAGTTGATTTGATTCCTGTGTATACCATCTGGCAGGTCCATGTGTATAGTTGCTGTTTATGTTGGTGAAAAAAGGTATTTGCAGTGAATAAGTCATTGGTCTTTCAAAATTCTGTTGTGCAATCTCTGACATCGTTTCTATCACCAAGGCCATATTTTCCAGCTACCAATCCTTTTCTTTGTTTCCAACTTTATTCTAATTGCCAGTAATTATCATGCATCTTGATTGCATGTTTGATCAATTTTAGCCTGCAGAAATTGGTAAAAAATCTTCAGTTTCCTCATCTTTTGCTTTAGTGGTTGGTGCATAAATTTGAATAATATTTATATTAACTGGTCTTCCATGTAGGTATATGGATATTATACTACTACTGTCCTTGATATACAGTCTGAATAAATCAAGCCTTTATTGTATTATATGTGAAGACTTTAATAACCATTCTTGGATATTGAATATTAGGATGGGGATCTGGAATAGATTCCTTATGTATTGGAGACCATTTAAAACATATTTGAGCATAATGATTTGCTGTTAAATCCATCTAGCTACTTTTACATTTATGAATAGTGCATTGGATGGGGCAAGGCACAGCTGGGAGATGGAGAGACAAGCGCAGCACTGGCCCTGGCCTCAGTCTGTTGGTAAGACCCACAAGAGGTGGTTATGAATGTAAATCTACCAATGTAGGGAGCTTGGGTGGGGAAACTAGGCACTCTTATGGTTTTTGAGTTTTACTTCAGGATTAAAATGAAACCAAGTATTGTTCAAAGCAAAGAGCATTATACCAGATCCAGAGTTTTTTGTACTGACAAAAGATAAATTCCATAAGGAAGATAGAGGATAGTTGTGACTCTTCATGGGATAAACATTTAAAAATATATATCTTAAAAATGTATAAAACAAATGAGTAGCT